CAGTTCTCCAGCTACTGTCCCAGTTAACAGCAACATCAGACTACAGACCTGCTAAGAAAGCAGCCTTCTGCGGGAGTCTAGCCATCTGCATTTGAGTCTTCTAGACTGAGGTCCCGACATATAGCAGACACAGGTTCCTCCTTCTGTGCCCATTTTCTGAATTCTTCAACTATTGATATTGGGTGAGGAAATAAATGATTGTTACAGTTTTAAGCTAGTGCGTTTTGAAGTAACTTATTTTTTACCAAAAATACTGATAAGAAGTGGGTGTGAGCAAAGCAGTCTTCAGACTGGGGACCTGAGTCCAGCAGGTAAAGAGGAGTACTCGCCCTGCTTATCGGATATTCTCTTCCATTTTCTCTTTTTTTCAACTCTTGACTGCTGTAATGAGTCACCCCAAACTTAGTGGGCTTCCTTGTAGCAGTCAGATGTGGCTGGCTCCCTCTCACACTTACTTAGTGGTTGGTTTTAGCAGTCAGCGGGAACCAGGAATGTTCGCTGAGCTTGTTAGCCGGGATCCCTTAAATGTCCTATCTTGCCATGCAGCCCAGATTAGTCTTGAGTTGCCACATTTCTCCTGCCTCTGCATCCTGATTGCTGAGAAGTTATGGGTGGATTTGGACTGTGTGTGTGTGTGTGTGTCTGTATGTATGATCAAAATACATTGTATGAAAAGAAAACATTTTTCTGGAGCACTTAACTGTTATAAGAACAGTACGTGATAATCCACCATGTTTATTTCTGTAGCAAAACATGAGTAGACACCCAAGTTGAATGGAGAGTATAAATAGCCTCACATTAGATTTGATCAGATGCCACCAAATGAGTTGCTGTGAGATTTTATTGTCAAATGAATTTAGAAAACTGTTCTTCAGTGCATTATGGATTGGAAATGGCAGTGGAGGGATTGTATATGTGTGTGGTTTCCACACTGAAAAGACCCTTTTTATGTTTCATGTACATCTGTATGTTGAAGTTACAGCTTGGCAGTGCATGGAGCTGATCCCATCCTTGCGTTGTTTTTTGCTGGTTTCACTGGTGTGGATGGTGATGGGGAGGTAGACGATCATGTTCTGAAGGCATCAAGGAAGATGTTTATTTTGTTGTATAGCTGGTACTGTTCTAAATGCACTATGGATTATCTCATCCAATTCTTAAAGCAACTTGCTGAATTATTCCATGATGATTTCCTTCTTAGAGGTGAGAAAATTGAGTCTTAGCGATGTGGAAAAACACAGCATGATGCCAAGCATTGCTGTCTGGCTTCGTATGTATATATATGCTGTGTCCTTCTTATGGTGTCTGAAAGGACTCAGAGCAGTGCTCCTGAGAGGAGCTTTTCTATACTGCCAGCTAAGGCCAGAATTGGATTGTACCTGTAGACATGGCAACTGCTGTAGAGGGCATCACTTGTGGTCAGTGGTGTTCACACACTGCTAACACTCAGACACAGCGGATTACCTTGCTCTGGAGACTATGTGGGAAAATGAATCTTGATGAGTCTCTATGGAGGGGCAGGTAGGGCTTCAGAAGGGGAATTGTGCTCTTCAACAAGTAAGTTCTGTTGAAGAGTGCATAGGGAAGGGCTAGAGAGGAGGCCAGGAAGGAACCAAGAGCCTGAGGGAGGTTTTCCTGTGAGCCCTCTGGCCACTGAATGTAGGCCTGCTAAAATTCCTACTGACAGGCTTGCTTTGATCTGCATGCTAGTGGATGCATTGCACCTAGTTCAACATCTAGAGAAAATGAAAAGTCATTTGAAGGTAAAGTCACTTGAAGGTGATTTTTTTGCGGTTTGGCCACCAGCCTGAAAACTTGGCAGTAAGTCTGAAGTGTCTCAGTGACAATTCAAGGATAGTCCACACCCCTATTCCAGAAGACAGCACTTAAGTCGATGAAGTTCTGTCTCTCTTCCCCATCCTTTTGTTAAAGACCTTTTCCTGCTTAGTCACTTATTTAGAAAGCAGGAAGATGGGGGATACCCTGAAATCATGGCCATTAGAATACAGGGGAATTTTCAACATTGACCACAGTTTGAAGGGGAACCTGGCAACTGGTACATCTCTCAACTCCCCCAAGACTCCAGTTAATGAAGTAGAGATGTAATGCCACAGCTGAGTGCAAACAATCTAAGGTTTCTGTGAATACTGGCATTCTGAAACTGGGGTGGTTGGTTTCTAGGAGGAAGAACAGTGGCTGGGGCAGACGGGTTTGGGAGGACGGTACTCAGACCACAGGACTCGTAGAGAGTAAATCTGGGACCCAGGCGTTTAGCTAGGACAGAGAACTGGTGTGAGTGCAGAGGAGGGCCAGTGAGACCATGGCTTTTTTCTTATTTTTCAGTGTGTGTATGTGCGCGTGCGTGCGCGCGTGCACGTCCTGACCCCTTCAAGAACCTGGCTGGAGCAGGTTTGTGACTGAGAGATTCAAGGTACAACTGGTCATCTCTGGCTGAATGTGCCTAGCTGGGGCAATGCTAATGGATGAAGCTATTCAGATGGAGTCCACGTTGCTTTATTTGGAAATAGTACACAGATGTCTTAGGAAAAATGATCCTTCAGAGTGACACACAGATACTTTTAAGTCCATCTGAACTACTTGAGGGCATCTGTCATGGACCTTTGCCTCTAAATATTTCAGTGCCTATTCCCTAAGGATTGGGTTGCTCTCTTACATACCTCAACAGATACGTTACTATATATACTTTAACTTACTGTCTGTATTAATTTTTCTTTGCATATGATTAGTGTCTTAAATTTTTTTAAATTATTTTTTGTATTTTATGTGTAAGAATGTTTTGCCTACTTGTATGTATGCATTCATGGTGCCTTCAAAGGTTAGAAGAAGGTGTCAAATCCCCAGGACCTGGAGTTGTAGATGGTTATGAGCCACTTTGTGAATGCTGGGATCTGAACCTCTGCAAAATCAGGTGCTCTTAACCCCTGAGCCATCTCCAGCCCCTTAGTGTCTTTTTGTGTAGGAAGAGTTTTATTGATATATAATTGGCACAGGGTAAACCACATGCATTTAAAAGGTAGTTTATATATATATATAACTATATGCCATAAAACTATCATCATAATCAACATAATAATCAAGACAGCAAACATGTCCACTCACCCCAAAGTTTACTGATGTCTTCCAATCCCAAATTGAGAACTTAGCTTCTTCAGTTGTCACTAAGAGACGTAAGAAAGGTTTCAATTGTTTTTTCTTGCCAGGCTCATGAATAACGTTTAGTTTGCATTTTGCTTATACTTGAAGTTGAGCATTTTCTGATATGTGTAAGGACTGTGTGCTTCTTATGAGCTACCCTTCCAGGCTCATTTTCTGTCGAGTTTTTTTTAACCTCTTTTTCCGCCGTTAGTTGGAATTCTTGCCCTATGGTGGTGTTATGTATCTGGTTGATGCTCTAGAAGTGCTCAGTCTGTTCTTTTTCCCTGTGCTGTTTCTCCTCATGTAAAAGTTTTTCAACTAAGGGGAAGTAATCAGTTTGCTTTTGTTGCACCAATATTTTGAGTCAAACTTAGCCTTTCTCGGCGCCCATGTTTTTTCCTAAACTTTAGGTTTTTTGCTTGTTTTTAATTTGTTTGAATTTCTGGTGTACTTGGAAATTACCCATATATAGATGCAATTTTACATTTATATTTTCCAAATTCCTGTAAAATACTTAGTCTTGTTCTATTCCATTAGTCTACTTATTCATAACAGTGTAATTGCAGACCTTTGGTAGTTATTATTTTGTTATCTCTTTGCAGAAATCCCTCTTCACCACTCATTTATTTGTGGATATGAAGACCATTGTATGTTCGTATGTTAGTTGTTTTTACCATTGATTGCTGTATAGCTGTGTTTCTAGAAACCCTCACAGCATCAGCAAACAGTTTTACTTCAGCCCTCGATTGTTTCACTTGTATTGGCTGACTAGTAGCAGTTGAGATTGTGGGCAGCATGACTTTTAAGATGAGTATGATTGCTATTGTGCAGTTGCATATAGCTTGCTTTGTTGTAGCTGCCTTCTGTACCGCCCTGTCTTACTTTCCTTTCTCATTCCTTCCAGGCTGTCAGGCTCCTTCCTCTTCCCTCTATCCCTCTAATACTTTGTTTTTTGTTTGTTGGTTTTTGGTTTTTGAGACAGGGTTTCTCTATGTAGCCCTCGCTATTCTGGATTTGCTTTATAGACCAGGCTGACCTCAAACTCAGAGATCGGCCTGCCCCTGCCTCCCAAGTGCTGGGATTAAAGATATGTGCCACCACACCCAGCCCCTCTTCTATTTTTAAGTTGTTGTTTTGTGTTGTTATTTGTTACCACAACGAGAAAATGTGTTGTTTATTTTTTCATGTCTGACTTTTGATCACCACTATTACCTACAGTACTGTCAACAGGATTGTGTTCTTTCTGGCTGAGTAATGCTACATTGTCTGTCTATACCACATATTGTGTATCTGTTAATTTGTCACTTGTGCTGAGACCGATTCCATAACTTGGATATTATGGGTAGTGCCTCTGTAAACATGAGTGTTGTAGGCAACCTGACTTTACTTCTGACATCATTGTATTAAACAGAATAACCGGACACAGAAAGGCAAACATTTTCTCTCACTGTGTTTCCTTACTGAGTCAGGTATGATACTTGATTGTTTTAAAAATCAGTCATTTTATTTTAGCTTGACTTGAGGAATGGGGGTTAAATGGCCTTACCTCTCCCTCCTGAACTAGACTCTGAAAGACAGGAGATGAGATCTGTCTGGTAGGAACCAGGGTTAGATTTTTTTTCCAGTTCTATTCCACTAGCGTCTTTCTCTGCCTCCTTGTCAAACTAACGTTGTTTTTCTGAGGACCTGTTAGCTCACTTGAAGTGAAGAGCATGTTGTCCTAACCCTGCAGTCAACCGCCTTGCTTCCTGTTCCCTTACTTCCTCACCTGTGCCCATCCTCTTGCCTGGGGCATGTGGAATATACATACTTGAAGTAACAGCTGGTTTTCTCTCTCCTGTTTTTAGGTACATGGCTTCTTCCTAGTCCCAGTCCAGAAGAATAAACCCTTAGACTGGGGAAGTGAGCCAGGCAAGCCAAAGGCAGCCTTGAGCCCTCCCCTTGCCTGCCCTCCCCTGTGGGGGCCAGGATGCTGAAGAAGCAGTCTGCAGGGCTTGTGCTTTGGGGTGCTATCATCTTTGTGGGCTGGAATGCCCTGCTGCTCCTCTTCTTCTGGACACGCCCAGCCCCTGGCAGGCCCCCTTTAGACAGTGCTCTCGATGACGACCCTGCCAGCCTCACCCGTGAGGTGATCCGCCTGGCTGAGGACGCTGAGGTGGAGTTGGAGCGGCAGCGGGGACTGTTGCAGCAAATCAGGGAGCACCATACTTTGTGGAACCAGAGGTGGAAAGTGCCCACTGTGGCCCCTCCAGCCTGGCCCCGTGTGCCTGTGACCCCCTCACCACCTGTGATCCCCATCTTGGTCATTGCCTGTGACCGCAGCACTGTCCGGCGCTGCTTGGATAAGTTGTTGCACTATCGACCCTCAGCCGAGCATTTCCCTATCATTGTCAGCCAGGATTGTGGGCACGAGGAGACAGCACAGGTCATTGCTTCCTACGGCAGTGCAGTCACACACATCCGGCAGCCAGACCTGAGTAACATCGCTGTGCAGCCAGACCACCGCAAGTTCCAGGGTTACTACAAGATCGCCAGGCACTACCGCTGGGCACTGGGTCAGATCTTCAACAAGTTCAAGTTCCCAGCAGCTGTGGTAGTGGAGGATGATCTGGAGGTGGCACCAGACTTCTTTGAGTACTTCCAGGCCACCTACCCACTGCTGAGAACAGATCCCTCCCTTTGGTGTGTGTCTGCTTGGAATGACAACGGCAAGGAGCAGATGGTAGACTCGAGCAAACCTGAGCTGCTCTATCGAACAGACTTTTTTCCTGGCCTTGGCTGGCTGCTGTTGGCTGAGCTGTGGGCAGAGCTGGAGCCCAAGTGGCCCAAGGCCTTCTGGGACGACTGGATGCGTAGACCTGAGCAGCGGAAGGGGCGGGCCTGTATTCGTCCAGAAATTTCTAGAACGATGACCTTTGGCCGCAAGGGTGTGAGCCATGGGCAGTTCTTTGACCAGCATCTTAAGTTCATCAAGCTGAACCAGCAGTTCGTGTCTTTCACCCAGTTGGACTTGTCATACCTGCAGCGGGAGGCTTATGACCGGGATTTCCTTGCCCGTGTCTATGGTGCCCCGCTGCTACAGGTGGAGAAAGTGAGGACCAACGATCAGAAGGAGCTGGGGGAGGTGCGGGTACAGTACACGAGCAGAGACAGCTTCAAGGCCTTTGCTAAGGCCCTGGGTGTCATGGATGACCTCAAGTCTGGTGTCCCCAGAGCTGGTTACCGGGGCATTGTCACTTTCCAGTTCCGGGGCCGGCGTGTCCACCTGGCACCCCCACGTTCCTGGGAAGGCTATGATCCTAGCTGGAATTAGCAGCACCTGCCTTTCCCTGCTGGTTCTCCTTCCATATCATGAGCTGGGGCATCCTGTCAGTGTTTCCCTCTTGGGTCTATATATCTCCCATTTCTGTGTTCCCCCCTCTCCCCGTGGCATTCTAGTGCATAAATCATGATGAGGGTTATACTCCTGTTGTCCAAGGAGTCACCAGGAGAACTATTGTGTGGTGTAGTTGGGGTATTGAACAAGAAGCCACTGTGTGGTACGGGGAGGCTTGGGCTTGTTGGGGCCAGGGTGTCCTGAGTTCTCGAAGGGCATCTGCAGAGAGCTTGGCAGCTGCAGCTCTCTTGACCAAGCCTGTTTCCCCTGACCTGGCTCCTGTCACACTTGAGCCCACCTAATGCACCTGTTCCCCTTTCTCCTCCTTCCCCCAGGGTGGGGCTGGGATATGGAAGAAGGATTGGGTTTGTGGCCAAATGAGACTAACCAAAGGGGTTTCACTGTCAGGGTCAGATTGGAGTTGCTGGGGTGCCAGGGGTCCCTGCCTCCCGGCTTCTCTCAGAGCTCTTCTCCAGCAGGGGAGCAGTCTGTGGCTGTGAGACAGGAAGTGCTGGAGCCAGTCGTCAGGAAGCTGTGGGGAGGAGGGCCTGTGCTCGGCACCCTCCTATTTGAAAGTCGGCTCCCCCTGTTCTTTAGGAGGACTCAGTGGTGGAAGACGGGGAGTGACATCCGCGCCTCTTTTCCCCTGGGCTTTGGTGAGGAGGCTCCTCCCTGCTGGCTGGCTCTTGGTGACTGTCTCAGAGCAAAGTACACCAGTAGCTGAGACCAGGACATCTCTGGCTCCAAAGCAGCTCCTGCCCTGCCTTCCTCAGCATCCCTACATCTCCCCCGCCAAGATGCAGGTAGCAGGTTGGACAGAAATCTGTGTGTTTTTGTTTGTTGCCTGACCTTAGTTTCATGGAAGAAAATGGAATCTACAGAATTATTTTCAAAAATAAAGTAAAGGCTGAATTGTCTGAAAAAAAAAATGTGTCTGTGTCCTAGGAAAGGAGGTAAAAGTGGCGAGGGGGGCCGGGGGTATGACAGAGGGGGAGAGTAAAGTCCACAGGAAACAGGAAAGAGCCAGACGGGAGAGAGCAAATGGACTCCTTGAAGGAAAGAGAATGAGAAAAATGGGATAGATGGGAGCTGGGGAGGGCAAGGGAGGGTCCAGGATGGGGCCAAGTAGGGTAGACAGGCTAGCTTGTGGGGAGGGCTCCAGGCAGCATGACTGCTGTTGATCTTCAAGTGGGTCTGGGGGTTTGCCCTGTGCCCACTCAGGCCACATCTACTGGGCACCTGAGCAAGATGCTCACGAGTCCAGGGTTTGCAGTAGATATTGTCCTCAGAATAAGACCAGAGCATGTCTGTCCCACCCTCAGCGTTTACTGAAACTTCACCCATATCAAATCCGCGCACTCTGACATTTTATACCCTGATAACTGTGTGTATGTGTGTGTGCAGGCGCACATCCGTATGCATGTTCATGTGTGTGCAGGTACACATGAGTCCAAAGGTCAACCTCATATCAGAATACTGTCCATGTTTTTGAGACAGGGTCTCCTACTGGCAGAGAACTTGCCCATTATGCTAGACTGGCTGCCCAGTGAGCCCCAGGGACCCACCAGTCCACTTTCCCAGTGCTGCCTCAACTGTCCTTTTTACATGGGTTCTGGAAGTTGAACTCAGATCCTCTTACACAGCAAGTAATTTATTAGCTGAGCTGCCTCCCAGCCCAAATTTTTTTACAAAGTGATTCTTGAAACCCTGGGTCTGACTATATGACAATCAAATTTGGATCTGGTCAATCGTGGTAGAGATCGCTGGGCAAGTTCTGCCCAGAAGGAAACAAGTGGGTTAGCAACCTTGGTTTTGGTTCAGGAGTGCAGACGAAAACAATGGAATCCTTTTCACTCATCTTAAACTTTTACATTGTGGCCTTGGTTGTGTCTCCCTTTGATGCTTTTAGATGGATTATTTAACATCAATTCTGACTTTGAAAGGAGCTAGCCCATTGTTTGTAGCTACAGACACAGGGCTGGGAGAGGGAACACGTCATCCCTGATCACTGAGTGGGGAGTAGTTTGTCCAGACCTCATGCTCTCAGCGCTTAATGTATTTAGCAGTCACTGGCCAAATGCTTTGTTCTGAGCACTGCCAGTATTGTGTTGATGCTGTTTCACCAGTGGAGAAGCAGGCACAATAGAGCCGAACTTGATCGGGCATGGTTGGGGCAGACCCAGGATTTGAATGGAATGTACGCTGTAAACAACAGATAATGGACCGTTCCTTTCTATCCTTTAGTGACTTCCTCAGCACCCCTCCCCAACCTCATTTGGCTCCCAGACAGCAGGTGATGCTAGGCTTCCAGAATGAACAGCTGGTGGTCTCCTGCCCTGGATGGTTGGGTGTGTTAGAGAGAGTCCAGGAAACACAGAACAGGAAGAGGAAGCGGGGGGGGGGGGGGGGCTTGAGGCCTGCTACAGCTGTACAGAGACTTAAGAACAGCCCGGCTTTTCAGGTTTTCCTTGAAATGAGGAGTGCCTTTTTGAGATCTTTTCATATTCTGTTTGCTTTTGAAGTAAGCCCCCCAAGAGTCAGCTTGCTGCTTGGCAAGGCACCCTTGAGGTTCGTGTGTGCATGGTTGACTAGGAACCCCGATGCTCTTGTGGAGGACCAGTGTGGCTGCTGGGAAACACCGTGCCGTCACATGCTGTGAGCTCTCCTATCTCTCAGCTTGGAGAGCCCATAGTCACCTCTGCCTCAGGACTTTGCTGTAGTTCTGCTTCTTCTCTCATCAGCGCTCAGGCAACCAACCGCAGCTCCTCATTACGCCCATTCCGTTCCTCGTTACGCCCGTTCACTCCAAGGGCTTCAGGACTGCTGTCTCTGCCTTCTCTATGGCTTAGCCCTCTTCTCTAGGTCACACTGGCATCTCCTTGTGGAGTGAGTCACCCCAGTGTAGACAGATGTATTGGATGGAGTCTCTGTGGCAAGGTTCCTGAGCCTTCAGTAGACTCCCCCATCTCATCCCCATGTGATGCTGTTGGGTGGGTTGCCAGGAGAACTGAACCTCTTAGGGAAGACCAGGAGGGTGGGAGTGAGAGGGTAATTAGAGCACTTGATCGAAAACCTTACTTGAAGAATGTCTTCTTCCCTTCATTTAGGACATTTATTTTAGGAAGTCAAAACAGATTGCAATAATATCCATGCTTCTTTACCCGATTCATATTATGGAGTGGGATCCTACCCGACTTCTTTTTCACACAAATAGAATGTTTATCAAAAAATTCATAAAGGTCTGCAAATACTTAGCTTATATAAGTTTACATAACTAATAAGTTTATGTAACATAACGTTGCCCTCATTTTTAAGAAATATGGGTCTCAGGCTTCCAGGTGGGAATTTTTTAGTGGCAAGTGGCTTGCCACTCCAGGGGTCCTGGCCCTGTTCCTACCCAGCACTCATGGCTAGCCAGGACAAATCATAGGGAGTTTCTGTTTGGAAGCAGAGGTTAGAGGCCCTTTCAGGTAAGGGATCAAGTTCCCTTGTCCTGAGGCTGTGAGGCCAAGCATGGTAGCACAGATCACCCGGGTGATGGGCCTGAACTGAACCTGCATGGGCCCACTGAGTGTCTCTCTGGAGCAAACCTTGGAACTGACCAAGGCTTTGTCCTATGAGGTCAGGACAGTAGTACCCTCTAGATGGTTATGAAGATGAGTTAATGTGTGGAAGCGACGTGAAGATAGTCCTGTGGAACTCTGTTTCTTGCTTTCCTTTCTCAGAACTCACCTTGGTTCCCCCACTTATAGGCCCTCACACCTTCACATGAGTCTAAAGGAAGCTGAGTGGCCAGCTTAGAGGCCATGTGTGTGTGTGTGTGTGTGTGTGTGTGTGTGAGACTGTGTGTGCACGCTCGTGCGTGTGTACATGCACATGCGTGTGTGTACACTCGTGCACACTCATGTGTGTACATGTGTGTGCGTGTGTGTTCATGCGCGTGAACACTCGTGCATGTGTGTATGTGTGTGCATGCGTGTGTGCTTGCATGTGTGTGTACACTCTTGCATGTGTGTATGCGTGCGTGCGTGTGTGTATTTGTGTGTGTATGCGTGCGTGCATGCATGTGTGTGTGTGCGTGCGCGTGTGTGTGTGTGAAGCTGGTGCGCTTTGCTCCACTGCCTCCCTTTGCTCATTTGAAGGCTGGCTCTTTCTACTAAAACAGTAAGTGACTCGGAACTAGAGCTGCGTACAGCAGGGAAGTTGGATCTAAAGAAAGGAGGGACTGGGGCTGGTGAGACGGCTGATCAGGTGAGAGCGTATACCGCACATGCAGAAGACCCAAGTTCAGTTCCTAGCACCTACATCAGGCAGCTCACAAGCGCAGGGAGCTCCGGTTCCAGGGGATCTGACCTCGTATGCTTTCTGGGCACTCAGTCACAGACACATGCAACTAAAATCTTTAAAAAAAAAGTGATGTAGGGTTGCTTTGGTGGCTTCTGATGTCATCAGGGCCTCAGATACTTGCATGTTGGTCTCACCCTCCTTAGCATGAGGCTTCCAGTCTAGGTGTCAGTCCTTAGCTACAAGAGTTCCAGCCATCACCCAGGTTAGGCTGGAAGAAAGGAAGACAGGCCGGAGGAGGGCCATCTTCCATTTCCGGGAACCTGAAGTCAATGCCTGATCACAGGTTCATGGCCACAAACAGAACACACAATCATGCTCTGCTCTTGGCAAAGGAGACTCAAAAGTGATTTGCCAGCTAAACTGATGTGTGGTTAAACTAGGATTCCTATGACCAAGGAGAAAGCGAGTGACGTGTGGGAGGCCATCTATGCTGTGACACCAGCAAGATTAAAACCAGTAACAGTGGCAAGGGTTCTTGGAGAAGGAAGGGGAATGGTAGTGTTACAGAAGTGTTTTAAGAATCCTGACCTGAAAAAAACCAGTCCTGACCTGGAGAAGGGAAGAATTCAGCTTCCTGAAACCCTTACTGGGTTCCATGAGAATTGTACTATCATGGTGAGGCCTTCTCACGGTCACACAAGAGTAGTATTCGTATGTTTTACATATTGCTTTGTTTGTTTGTTTTTCAAGACAAGATTTCTCTGAGTAGCCCTGGCTGTCCTGGAACTCTGTAGACCAGACTGGCTTCAAGCTCAGAGATCTGCCGGCCTCTGCCTTCTGAGTGCTGGGTTTAAAGGTGTGCGCCACCACTGCCCGGCTAAGAGTAGTATTCTTAAAGACCACGCCGTCTACAGAAATGCTGACTGACAGGCACACATAGATGGATGTATCTCCAACATACAGCTCTAGGCTCACCATCCAAGATGGATCTAAGCTTCAGGAAGGAGTAGAGGGGAAAGGAGGACGACCGTTTTTCACAGACGGATGCCAGAGCTCACATCACTCCCTCTCACACACATGCACGCGCATCCCATTCATTAGAACTTAGTCTGGGTCTCTTAGCTGCGGGAAAAGTGGGAAGTGGAGTCTCAGCTTGACCACAGTGTGTTCAGCTGAAACTTTTACTTAGCACAGGCATAGGCGGGGAGGAAGGTTAATGGGCCGGCAGTATTCATGAGTATGGAGATAATGGCACCTTTGGTCAAATACCTCTTGGGGAATGTAATTATATTTCAAGGTTTCTATTTAAGAAAAAAAGGAATAACTCAGGCTCTGGGGTGAATGGTGAGAACTCGCCAAGACCCTCCAAACGTCCCCAGAAGAAACCACCAATTAGCACACACCGTGGGAGCAGCTGCCTCCATCCTGCTGGAAGCCGCACCAGAAGTCAGGCTGTGTATGTGCAAAGCTAGGTTACTGAAAGCACATTAGTCCCTTTATGTCACCATACCAAAACAGTAGCCACAGATGGTCTATGAAGCAGAGGTTTATTCTGGAAGGTTCAGGTCTAAGACAGGCCATTCTGCTGCCTGGCTGCCAGGCTTCATGTCAGCATTTAAGTGCTCACATCTCCAGCTAGGAA